GTACATTCTTCCCCTCTCTTGTAAATCGACAAAAATCCTCGATAGCAAATAGATAGCTCAATGCAAATCAAAGGGAGCAGTTCGGTTAAACAATTCCATTTTCCAGTAATTTGACTAAAGCAACGAAAACCATCTGAATAAACAACCAATGTTCGTAAAAATAAATTTTTATACTTTCGAATATAAAATAGCTTCTAGCTTTCTTTCTCTTTCAAAAAACACACTTCAAATACCGAATCTTCCTACTGCAAATCCTTCAATTCTCAGACAGTACTACTATTCCCAAAATCTCTTCCATTACAATTTCCTAGTAATCAAAGTTGAATCTCCATTTTCTCCTCATCAAGCAATCACAGATCACTTCAGCAAACATCCTATAGCAACGAAGCGTGCATCTGAAATTCTAATCCGTTCTGCACCTTCTCGATTCCGCAAAGCGATCTAAACTTTCGCGGGCCTCCTCGCGATAGCGGAAATTCCCCGTAAATATTCGGCGACGTTTCGATTCGTTTCGAAACGGTAACCGCGCACGAACGTTCGAGTGGCCGCAGCTAATGCCCGTCAATCAGAAACGGCACGTAGTAGCCGCGATAAATAAAAGTGTTCCCCCGCTGGTGTGTATATTTACCGGTGACTATTTTAAAGCGCCACGCGCGCAAATACACGCCACCGACGAGGAAGTCGCTGATGCACTCACTGAATGAAGAATGTAACTAATACCGGGGCCGTGATTGCGATACGGTCCAACGATATTCCGTAATAATTCTCTGGTCGGTGATCTCTACTCGGTTAAAGTTTTAACTTTGATTTACACGGACACGACAGATTCCATGTCCCTTCCGTGTATATAAATTATCTGTTTAGAAGCAACAACGTAAAATGATCATATTAGTGGTGACTGTCGACGGCGAATCATTTATAAATGATTGTAAAGTTTCGAAGTATAAGTAAGCTACAGATAGTGAAAAATGTTGATAGTACTTTTAGTTAAGTAATGTCTTTGTAATTTAATTACATTCTGGCATTTTTAAACTACTCGAATCGTTGGGAAAAATCACACGTACAAATTTATTCATCGTCGTTATGATCAAGGGTTTCTAGGGCTTCTTGTAAAATATTATGAAAATAAATTAACGTAAAGCAAAGAGAAAGATAGGTACCGATGCAGAAAGAACTCGATTCTTTTGTTTTCTCCGCAAGCAATACAACTAATGTCAATTTCCACTCTTCTCTTCGTTCGTAAACAACTATTTATACCCATTACTCTCCTCTACTCTGACAACTATCTCTATTATTCGCATCAATATTCATCGACATTTATCAATGAATCCATAGCCATTAGTACTATCGAACCAACAAAGATCCGTTCCCATATATTCATAAAACGATCGTATCTCTTCGAATCGAACTGGTTGGACCAATTTCTCACTTCATAGATTAAAGAGGTAATCGTTGCCGAGTGTATTCTCGAAAATGAGTGCGCGAAGACGGCAGCTCGTGGCGTCGGGACGCGCGGTAGTCGCCGAATCTCGGTGGCGAACCTTTAATTAAAATCTTTCGATCCGAGGGGACAAATCTCGCCGTCTGAAATGAGGCGAAACGACGCGAGAATGGTCGTAGAGAAACGCGCGCGAGTAATGTCTCATTACGTACAGATTGACCTAATTACGAAAGGAAACGTCTGGCGCACTCGAGTAGTCGCATCTCGTCTGCAGTTGGTGCGTTGCCTGCCTTTCTGTGTAAAATTGGAAATCGTTCTCTATTTATAGCGCTTTTCCGATAGGGTCACCGAAGCCGGACAAATATGGAACAATGTAGGGAGCAACAGGGAGCGTAAAACACTCCGTTGCACGTTCCCTCTTTGTTTCCATCTTCCCTCCTCCTTGCTCCCCCCTCCCC